AAAGGCCCATAACTTCCTTTGAAATTAATGTGATGAGAAGCGGTAAAGATTGTTGGAATCCACTCGAAGAGTACTTCATAACAACTGTGAAATTTCCCTGAAATTCCTTCTTCTGCCTCAATTTTCCTACGGCGTCTCTAGAACTCAATTCAGCAAATTCGCTACACTTTGTTTCGCTTAGATTTTATTTGTTCTTTGTTGTGGTCGAGCATTGAAACTCTCTTCAGAAGTTTGTCTGCTTACGGCCGCTGACAGAGGAGGCGTTTTTTCGGGTATACGCCGTGCACCTATCTGTGGGCAGAATTCGCACTCGCATTTGAAAGTCTTCTGTTTTCCTGAAGAAGGTGTTAGTATCCTGATTGAGTTGTATTGTGCTGTTATATGGCACTTCTCCTCGGGATTTCAGGAATGTTTCATCATCGAAGACAGACCATGTTTTTGCACTACACTGTAACAAAGTTTTTGGCTATTGTCTATTGTACTCTTGATCTATGCCGCGGAGCAAAAGCGCCGTCCGGATAGCGTCGATTAAGGATAATAAGCTGATGGTGAGACTTATAGTGCTCTGCATGCTTTAATGCTCCCATGGAGCTCATGTCTGTGTGACTCTCCGACAGCGTGCAGAGCTCCTGGAGAACATTAGAGGCTGAAAGTGCACTCCCGGACACTGCACTTTTCAAGCCGTCTTGCAGCCCGTCTGTGGATACGACCCCCTCCCTTTTCTCTGCGCAACGCTGGGTGGACTGGATCGACTGCAAAAACATGATACGTGAACAGCGTTTGCATTTTTGAGAAAAGGCATCGTGGTCGCCCGTTCTGTCATGTTCACTATTTTCATCGCACTTCTGGTCGCGGTAGGTAAAAAGATCTTCCTGGTCAATTTTTTTATCATTCAGTTTTTATACAGTTCAAACTTTAAGGTACCACTTTGTTCGAGGTGTAATCTATGAGGGTTTGCAGTACACATCAATGAGATTGAAGGTCTCTGAAAGTGAGTTTCATTTGACTATTACGGAAGCAATTTGTCATCCAGTGCAGGGCGGGACCCTAAATTACCACTTTCTGCCTCCAGCACGTCGTCGAGGCCTCAACCGCACGCACCACACCAAGTCCTACTTTCGCAAAAGAAACTGGGCAAGCTGTGCCACTTATTCGTCTTTCTTAAATCAAAGGGCTGCATAAGCGATTGCCGAAAGGGTTACGAATTCATCGTCATTCTTTTATAGGCGGGCGGATGTGGTGAAATAGCGCCGCTACCATCCGCATGGTCCATGAATACAGATGCGTATGCAAGAGCGAAACTTTGGTACCACCTGTATCACCTGTCGTCCCGTTGATCATCGATTTGCTCGAGCGGGCGCCAGCAACGTCTCCATTCGTCCCTGTCGCGTGCTAGAGTGGTCCAGTGGATCCTCCTCGCTCGAGGGACACGAAGCCGTTCATTCCTTTCGTTCAGAGCTTTCGTGAAGAAGTCTGACCATCGGGCCGGCGGTCGTCCAGGACTTAAGCCGTTTAGACAGAGCGAGCACCCGAAGTAAAGCGTGAATTATAATGTTCTGCTGTAGTCACGTACAATGCGCGACGCATTGACGCGCTGAAGTGTGTGCTCGCCCCCACTATTCGTTTTCTCTGCGCTCTCTCAACGAGAGAGAATATGTCGAGCCAACCCGCCAACTATACTGAGCGCCGTTCATGTAGGAGGTGGAGGATGGCACGCACGCCAGAGTGGCCTCGCGCCTAGTCTAGCGCGGCACCCGGGGATAACCTCCCCTAGCCTGCGCGCGAAGCGAAGTCGCTCACGCGGCGAGGCTGAACGCTGCGACGCTCATCCATTTCTGGATTGCTGCCCAGCAGGTTAGCCTCATTGTAAAAAACCGTAAAAACCGTAAAAGGAACATAGAAGAACAAATTTCCGTATAGGGGTTATTTGGTGTCCTGATTACGAATATGACATTCATTCTCGGCGCTGGCGCTATTTGGCGCCTATTTTCTGCTCGTCTGCGCTCTCCAACGAGAAATATGCGTTGAACAACGTTAAAACCGTAAAAACCGTAAAAGAACATAACCTATAGGATCGTCATTGCGGAAATCGCGTCGATGCGACGCGCATTGTACGTGACTACGGCAGGAACATCGTAATTTACGCTTACTTCGGGTGCTCGCTCTGTCTAAACGGCTTATCTCGTCGTCCAGGTGTTCGTTTGACGTCCCGAGGGATCCAGTCGGTAACCGCTCTGGTCCAACGGTCATCGCAAAATCGCATGACGTGTCCGGCCCACCTTATCTTCGATTCCTTGGCGAAAACGGCAGCGTCCCTGATCTTCGATCGTTGGCGTAGTTCGGAACTCCGGATTCCCCTCTGCACTTGCGTGTATAGGGTTACTCCTAGCATCGTCCTCTCGACAGCGCGTTGGATAACGCTGACCGCATGCTCGTCCTGCCTGCGCAGAGTCCAAGTCTCTGAGGCGTAGGTTAGGGCAGGAAGGATGGTAGAATCGAAGAGGTGGGCACGGAGTTAGGATGTCGTTCTTCTTCTTCACTCAACCGTTTTTACCATATTTATTGATAGAAATTATTGTGTCTCTAGAACGATGCAAATGCTGGAGATTTGATGGACAGTGGCTTAGCGTAACACAATAACCATGCAATACTGCAAGCAGTACTGCACTACTGTGGCGCTGTACTGTAATCCTGAGTAAATAGTATCGTTTCAGGTGTAGTGGTTGTGAATGTGCTCAGCTTTTAAATGTTCGATTTTTTAGCAGCAGAGAAGGTATGTAGGCTAAGCGATGATGAGATTACCGAAACGAATCAATGGCCGAATCGTTCACTATGAATACTAGTTCAAAGAGAGCAGTCGAAAGGGGTCAAGGAAGGAATTCTGTGTGGTAGTCATGTTGTGCGAAGCTCGAAAAGGAATGGTGGACACATGGGAAGAAGTAATAGGTTCGGCTGCGCTGACGCTTGATGCAACTTAGATTCACCACCTTCCCCTCCCTTGGAGCCAATGATTTGAAAAGCGTCTACTGTTTTTCAAACCTATTGAGGGAAACTAATCAAAAGGGAAAACGACGCCATTTAGCACAATCTAGTGCTACGCCAAATTGTCGTTATTGAAAAAAGGCCTTAGCAAGTCAATAAACCCTGATCAAACCCTTCGGGAGTTACGCCAAGCATCCACCCCCATTCGGGACCTTTCTGTGGCAGTTGAACGCGATCCAGTCTACACAATGACTAGTGGAGCCAGCCGATGTACGAGTCGTTTTTGTTCTACCAGACTAGGCCCGGTTTCATTTCCTCTGTCTCAAGCTGATTGAAAGCGTTGAATGTCAGGTATTACGATGGAGGGTGTCACATTGGTGCTGCACCTTCTCCAAAAAGGCGGTGGGCTGATCTGCTCGTCCCAAAAAGCAACCGTAATACCGAGACGTTTGACCAACAGTGTCCCCAACCTTCCATGAGTGTAGCCTACCTGACATACCTTCAACAGGGGATTGTAGATCTCCAATCGATAGCCAAACGCAAGTTGATGTTCAAGATGAGAATGATCATTCACTTCCGGAAGGGGTACGAAGCGAAGTACATCATATCAAGACCTTCAGGTGAAAGCAGTGTAATAAAAAAGTGTCCGGCACTGTAACATCAACGAGCGCAGGATTCACTCCAAATATGGTAAGGCATTTATGAAGCGTTGAATTTGTCCGGCGGAGAACTTCTCATCCCTGCCCCTATAAGTGCAAGAGGAGCGAAAACCAATGCTATCCCCATTCTGAAGGTAATTCTCGCACTATCGCGTTGCGGTCGCTGAAGGATTACAAAAGCGATACACGCGAGTACGCAAGGCATTTATCAAGGAGTGACGACAGTATAATTCTTCTTACTTTGATACTTTGATAGTCCATCAACTGGTGTTCTTCTCAGTGGGGACCACAGCTCTTCCACATAGCCCGATTCTTGGCAACTTGCATCCAACATAGGCCTCGTTCTCTGAAAAACTTTGAGAACAAGTCGGCCCACCGAGTTGGCGGTCGCTCCTTTAGTTGTTGACATGACTGAAATTCTCTCAGGCCACTTCCACCATGATATTTGGATTAGTGGTACGGTAAATATGGTCTCAGGGTTGAGAATCGTCAAGGCAGCTTTCAGTTGGCGATCATACGAGCGATTAGGCCGACTTAGTTTATAAGGAAATGGATACGTATCGGTTAGGCGTTTACGCGATTAGGCGATCAAACGAGTAAGCGATTGGAGGATCGCTCAATGGGTGGGTGAAACAAATGACAGGTGTCGTTTTCTGATTGCCTATTCTTCTGTGATCGTTTACTCGCCTGATCGCCTAATCGATACGCATGTTTCTTTCAAATCGTCGCCTAATCGCTTGATAGCCCAATCGCCCGAATCGCCTAATCGCCTCGGTCCCCAACTCTGAAACATGGACTGAGGGCTGGCTCGATCTCGTGTTAATGAGCCTTCAACTAGTGCTTATGATGGATGGCGCCGTTCCTCTTGGCGGAAAAAGGTATGAGCTTTTACATATTTTCATTATAGTTATACTTGTTCAGTTTAGCCTTTTCGGCCTGGAATGTGCCTTTAAGTGCTGTGTTTCAATTCAATTCTAGAGTGAGTGCTATGGCAACAACGTTGTAAACCGTTTGGCCACAGACAGTACTCGGGTTCGCTTTTCGCAAATCCCACCTCCCAGGTGCCCCAAACGGACTCGTACATGGATTCATCTGGTTAGTAAGATACCTAAGGCCCTTGCAATTCCTCGGAGTTAGGCGGGCGCGGTTATAGGCTTCGAGGAACCCGTTTTTAAAGGTAAAGAAGGTTCCTCGTTAATCGGTAGGCCTACAGGAACATCTATACCGATTAGAGTCGAAGGTACAAGGCACCTCCGCGTCATACCCGTTTCGATCGCGTAGAACCACGCTAACTTGAGTATACGCCAATGCTCGAACAACAATGCAGGCTCAGTGGATTCTCAGTTCGACTCATTCAAAATGGCTGAACTTCGCAGTCGCTCGTTTTCTGACGTGGTCACTACTTCTGATAGCCGTGCTAGTCGCGGTAGGTTTGAAATATTTCCAAACACCTTCTCCATTTCCTATCCCACTTTCCCCATCATCACCTTACCCATTAACGGGCACTAATGTCTTCTAAGGGAACATTCAAAGAGGGTATTCAAAAACTGCTGGTAAGGGGAACTTTGCCCAGGAGACTAAGCCCAGGATAGAGAAGAAACGCCAGGGGGAACAAAGGTTGCTCACATCTTCCCCCAGAATCTCTCCCCTTTCCTAAGGCCTTGTTCTAACTTCTGCAAAAGGCTCACTCACTTCGGCATTTCCCCTAACAGGGCGCCCTATAACTTTGGAACCAAATCTCTTCATGTAGATGAACTAACAACAGTTGAGCGAGGATGTAGGAAGAAGCTGCGTGCAACATCCCACTTGTGATAAACCCTTAAAGAGCAAGATACTCTGGGAAGATGTCCAAACATGATGGATGTATATACATATTTAGTAATACGAGGGAACCAACTAAGAATCGCTTTTGTGGTTGACCTGCTCAATCCGGTGCCTTACCATTCAAGATCCATCCGAAATTGATCACTATATTATGAATATCTTCTTGTTTTGGTGCGCTGATTGGTCAGGATGTCATTGTGACCCCGTTTCCGCTCAGGATGAGCCAACGTCGAGGGTTTCTCTACGGGACGGGACTTGTGATTCCCTCTAGGGAGCGAATCGTACTTAGTGAGCTCAGCTGTGGATCTTCGGAAAGCTGAAAACTTCTCCAAAACCGAAGGAAATTCGCGGCAGTTGTAGAAACTCGAAAAATTTCGAAATCAAGAAAATTGCGTAAGAGCGAATACCCTAAAAAACAGAAGTTCCAGAGTTCACGGCACGCTCTGTAATGATCGCATAAGGAAACTCAATAAAACACAGCGTCTTAATCATTGGTGTACCCATTCTTAACCATCTTACAGTTAGAAGGGGAGCGCACTAATGAGGAAGGCGCAAGAGACTCCGCCCATAAATTCAGCGTGCAACGTGCCTTTAAGGCTTACAAGAGCTGTTGTGCAAGGACATTCACTTAAACCACCGTCACATAATTATGGAAGCACTTCTGCAACGTAGTTGTTATTTTCAGGTTTTTGCATTTATTGTTATGTTTGACCGTCAAGCATTCATTGCTATGTTTGATCGTAAACGGGATCCAAGAGTGAGCCAGTGAAACCAGCGAAAAAAGCGGCACTGGGAATCCACGAGGTGAACACTCTGGCCAAACGCATAATCGCCAAGTATGGACAACACCGAGTACTGTAAGTAGCTTTTTGAAAAGAGTTTAATGTGACGTGGTGGTGCTCAATGGTACGCCGGTAGCGAAAAGCAGAAACTCCGTGTCAACGCAAATGGGACCCACCTTTTTGATTTATTGGCCGTTGGTTTCACTCCATGAACAGCTCGGAAGCAGACCTGTTGGAACGAAGTTTCAGCGCAACCGTTGGCGGCTACCCTTGACAAACCCACGATTCTAATCGAGTCGCATCAGGTGTGCCGTAGCTGGGCAGCGCAGCAGCAAATGGCCCAAAACACCAACTAAACTTAGTGGGCGGATCGCTTTTGGGGGCGGAGCGCTTTCGAAGTCCTGCTCAGCAACCAGCGCACCTTTCGTCGTGAAAGCGCCACATCTCGCTTCCCTGGCAACCAAGTAACTGATTCGTGTGGTGCACATGCTTCCCCGATGCGCTCCCTCTTTATCGTAACCGCTTCCTTTAAGAGCAATTATATCGATAGCCTTGAGAGGATCGAAGGCTCTACTTTTTTCCCCGAACGTCAGCTCTTACCTGTTTTCTCCAGGTTGCAGTGTCACGGAAGGCTTTTCAGTGCTCTTGACGGTGTACTGAAATACGGTTTTATGATAACAAGAACAATAATGACCACCTGGGAGCTGGTGTTTCGGCTTGTAAAGTGAAGAGGCAGACTTGTGATTCTTTCTAGGCAAAATTGTCAGGGAGAAGCTGTTATTAGGGCCAAACTCTCCCGCTTTCCTAAACTCCTTTTATGCGGTACTTCGAGCTTATCAAACAACATATTGAGCACCCCGAACAAAAATGATATCAATAAAGGGTTCGTCGACTTGTTGACAGTTATAATTTCGAGCGATCCACTTCCAGGGAGGATTCAATTTGTTTGGAAAATGGTACTATCATATGTGTCTCCGTTCAAGACATAATAACGAATGAGAAGAACAGGTATTTGCTCGAATTCGGTTTTTCTCTATCGAAATTATTATGGAATCGGTACATTAAGGTACCGCTTCCACCGGGCCGTGGTTTGTCACGGTTTACCATTCACAACAATGGAGTTGAAGATTCCTGAAAGTGGGTTTATGTGGCTTTTGTGACCTTAGCCTTAATAAAAGCACAGATGTGCTGGTGCGTGGCGCAGCAGATCACCACAGTGTGCGACTTTTGTAGGCTGTGGGTTTTTTCGACCCCTTATCACACCTATCCTGTCCTTATCACATCCACAGCCGTTTTAGGGCGTAGAGACAGAGAAACACACAATTTTCTTCTCGTACCTTGGCATTTCGTGATTATGCACATTCACTAACAAAGACGTATTCAATGGCATGAGAAGTGACTGACCTAGATTTTTGAGGCATTACTTACTTAGGATTCTGCCGGATCAATAACACACAGGAGAATATTTTGGGAAAAAACCAGTATCACTAGTCCACTGACACCAGTGATTATTTTATTCACCGTCTACGTTACTTGTCTCCATTTGTGGCACCACTGGGTGTAAGAACAACATACCCTTTGGTGAGGCCAGACTTCGCGAACCGAACGATGCGCAGTGGCGCGAGCGCTGCACTAGCTCGAGTGTTGAAAAGAAGCGGGAGAAGTTCTCGTTCGCACGTTGACTCTCCCACGTTCCAGATTCACAAAAATATGCGAGCACGCGAGGGCATGGAAGCTAGAAGCTAGCCTAGCGATTACTGGATCCACAGAATCTGACACAGGCCTATTAGAGTGCTGAAAGTGAAGTTAGTGAAAGTGCTCGAAAATGAAGGGGACACAGGGAAGTAACCATCAGACGACAAGAGTGACAGCGGTGCCATCTGTACAGGGTGTCCCAAAATTATGAACGTCTAATTTCAAAAGTTTAGCGGAAGGGCGCAGAAGTTATCGATTGTTTTGACTTTACTCGCTACTGCATAGCAATTGAGCAGGATTTTCTTGTCAGCTGCCATGCGGAATGGCTTCTGAAGATCAGCAAACTCGTAGCCAGTTCTTGATTGAAGGAGCATCGCCTTCAGTAGTGGACGACCGTTGATTTCTCGTTGATTCTGGTAGGTGGATCGACGTACACGGACACCTTGGGTAGCCCTTCTGAATAATTTTTCCGGTTCCCTCTCTCAAAACCAATCAGTGGTCTTTCAGCAAGGAGAATGCTCCAGTCCATTGAGTAAAGTTTGCCTAGGAGTGGTAACGACGCCAGCTGCTCCAGCTCGTTTGCATCTCGTTGGCCTGATTCTGACCCGCTTTACTTCTCACCAATGTAATTTATGACTGGGAGAAAGGTCTGCCTAGTTAGCTATGCTACATTGGAGTCACTGATTAGCAGAACAAAAGAAAGCATTGGAAGAAAGAGACGAGAAATATGTGCCTGCTGCAGCAATGTGTGAGACGTCCAAGAAGCGAACTTGAGCCTGTAATTGAGCCGCTGATGGAAGTTCTGTTGTTGCGTATTGCTGTATATTGCAAGTAAATTTGCCTACAAAGTAAACAAGCTCAAGTGGAATCAATCAAGCTCTTAACTGATTGGCCGCGACCCAAGAGTCAGTTCAAACATTCAATGGAATGGGCTTACCCAATATACCTTCTGTATGCACCCTGCCTATAGGTTTCGCTTACAACAGTATGGTTGCGACCTGGTAGAAGTTACCTACCTATTTAGTCAGCTGAAGTTGACCAACCTTGATTATACCTTGAAGTCGTGAATAGCTTATCCTATTTATCAGTCCGCCTTCGGCCAGTGAATCCACATTTTATGCCTAACGGTGTTACTTCCGAGTACGGCCGAAGATTAAAGTCTACTAAGAATTCAGATATTTCAGAACTTGACAATGATCAATATGATACAGCGAAATGGGTTGTGGACCCGACGAAACTAAACCCGAAATGCTACACCCCGGTGATAGTAGGTAAGGAATTTTCTTAGGAGTCAATGCAGCCAAGCTTGGCGGGCGCACGACGAATGGTGCCTTAGGTCCCAGAATAATGTTTTTGTAAAAGAATTCACCGGTCCTTAACATAAAAGAGCCAAGGTTGAGCTTCGAAATACGCCACAGTGTGGGACAAAAATATGATGAAAAGTTCGAAGACCAGGAGGCGCATCGCGCAACAATAAACATGCCTTGACTAGATCATCCGTTATTTGGTGAACCACGCCACTTTATTCGATAGTATCGGGAATTCTTGCCACCGAATCTTCCTGAAGTCTGTTGTTGTCAAAGGCCGGCGTCTGACTCTGATACGGAGTACACTCACGATCTCAATCTCTT